GCTGGATGCACTCGACGAGTTTAGGTCAACATGGACTATTGACCTTGACTGTTGACCTTGACGTTGACCAGGGTTGATTTTGAGGGTATTTATGGTATTCCGAGATCGTGACAAGTTAATCACATGATGATTATAGGCAGTTGAGTTGGAGCAGCAAGTGAGATATATTTGATCTTAGCTTGTCAGTTCAGCATTCGAGAGGTGAGTCTTCTCACCATACCAATGGGTCTACGACACCAAGGCCGGCTCATTTTATGATATGTGGTACACTAGCTTTAGTAGAGATATGTGGTGTGATAGTTAGCTATATGCTAAGTGGTATGCTAGTGATTATATGATATTTGCATGGAAGACCTCGGGGGGAGCCCGTGGCAGTTGGATATAAGACCATGTGGGGGAGCCCATGGAACATTGGAGTAAGACCCTGGAGGGAGTCAACGACATCCTTATATGTTTATGTATGAGTTATGTAGTATGATAGATACGTATGTGATATATGATATGCTAGTTGATTATTATGGTATTGCATGGAAGACCCTGGGGGGAGCCCGTGGCAGTTGGATATAAGGCCATGTGGGGGAGCCCGTGACATTCCTAGGTAAAAACCATGGGGGGGGGGGGGGGGCAACCCATGACATGAAGGTATAAAACCCTGGGGGGAGCACACGACATCCTTATATGTTAGTATGCATGGCTTATGTGATATATGTATATGTAGATTTTATAGCTAATATGATATGTGTTATGTGGATTGTGTGTGGGGTATGCTCTGGGGGAATCACTAAGCATTAGCTTACAATTTGTGGATTTGTTTCAGGTACATCTGAGCCCAAAGGCAAGGGCAAGACTTGATGGCGCAACGTGCACTCTCTCAGGCATTTTTTTTTGGGACACTCTGATGTTTGGAAATAATATTGTTATGAATATGAACTTGAAAACAATTGTATTGAGATTTCATGGTTTATGGAAAAGTGTTTTGATTATTTAAAAATGAAAATTTTCTTTTGAAAAATTGGGTCGTTACAAAACCTCCTCTTTAATAGTTGGAAGCCCATATTCAAGACTTGTGGTCAATTTGGAAAGAACAAAAACCCCATTTGCTGAAATAGTCAAAATCGACATACTAAGGAATTAAGGAAGACTCAAAACTTTTCTTTCGGAGTGTTATTTTGTCTTGGAAGTGCAAATTCGAGTTGGGAGAAAACGATCACAAATAATATCGTTATCTGCTATTGAGATATATAAAATTGAAGTCGAAGACATTTTCTTTTTGGAGAGAACTGGGGCACCAACATTATTTGAATAATTTGTGAATTAGGTTACTGATATAAGTAAAGAGACGAGACACGTATGAGAACACCTCATTAATGATTGTCCCACGTATGATGTCACGTGAACAAAACCTAAAGAAAACCAATAACAAGGATTGAATGTGTACAAAAACAAGAACCTATTTTGCAACAAAAAATATTAATAACTATATGTTTACAAACTGGAAATTAAACCCGGAGTAGCCGATCATAAGGAGTTAAGGATTGAGTGTATATAAAACAACAAGTTAAAGGACTTATTTTACCAAAAAAAAAACAATAAGGGCTAAATATATACTAAGAACTATATTACCATTTTAATCATTTTTCCTATTGAGAATTTAGTTGAGATTCAAAAATTAAACACTTGAAAACAAGTCTCATAGAAATTAAAATTAAATTAAAATCCTCTTTAATAAATGAAAGTTTTTTTGTCACTTGTCACTTTTTCATTCAATTTGCTAAATGTTGTTTTGTGGTTATTTTGAATTAATTTTTTTTCCATATGTCATTTTATAAGTTTTTCTATTTTATTAAATTTCACATAATATTTTTAATATAATAATTGCAATAAATGTAGTAATAAATGGATATCAATTTAATTAATGAACTTACATTTTAATTTCAAAATTGTTAAAACTAAGCTCATTAGTTTTTTTTTATTTAAATTATTTGTTTAAATTTAAAAGATAAAAAACATTTTGATTATAATAATTCATTATTTTTTTTTATAAATTCAAAGTTCTCAAATATTTTGACCTTTATATTTAACATTTTTTTATAAAAAAAAAATAACTCATGTAATACATGGGTCTCACAACTAGTTATATAATAAATAACATTCCCGAATTTAGTTCATTAATAATCAGTGTCATGATTTTTAATAAAAATTGAACGCAAAAAAAGCGAAAACATAATTAATTTTTTTTACAAATAACTAAAGAGAAATTAAATATTCTCCTACTTTTGTTCCTACAAATCCTCCTACCCAATTAAATGATGACATGTGTTATATTTGTATACTAAAATATCATTAAATGAACATTAAATGTTACACATGTCATTATTTAATTGGGTAGGAGGATTTGTAGGATCAAAAAGTAAGAGGATATTTAATTTCTCATAACTAAAATGTATATTTTGTAGAATAATATATTTTAATCCGTGCATGAAATCTTAGTTATATGATTTTTAATGATATCTGAATGAAAAGGAAAGGTAAGATATAATAAAGATTGTAAATGATTAAAATTGGATATTTTAAATATTATATCACAAGTTATCTAAGGGTGTTGATTTTTCCACAGAGAGATTTTGATTCATCCACTTAAATATTTATGTAATGATTATTATGCCCCTTTATTTAAATTTATAGTTATTATAGCAGAAAAATCAAGGATTTCTTTCTGCATATGGCACGTGGATTGGACCCTATTTCTTTTTATAAAAAATAAATAAAGAGCAAATTAATAAACCCATCTTCTCTGGTTTGCTCACCGGAGAACAAGACCATCAACATTTTGAAAAGCATATGCATAAATAAAATCAACCGAAAAATTTATATCCTATCATTGGATGTTGTTCCGACGGAAGAAGAGATTGTTCATGGAATCATGAGAGATGGGGAGGTCACCGATGGTGTGCAGGATTGTCGATGGTAGATCAATGGTTCTCCGACACTGCACAGAAGGAGGATCTTTTGCCAGTGGAAGAAAGGGAATTCACCGGTGGTGGAAGTGGTTGTCGTCTGTGGTTAGCTATCGATCGACGTCTTTTCTCATTCTATTTTCTTGTTGCAAGACTACAACATATGAACTATGAAGTTTATAAATATATAATGCAACTGAATTATAATCGATATGTTCCAGAAAACCAAAAAAGTATAAAGAAATCTACCTATAATTCAGAATTTTGAAATCAGTTTCATTGCTTCTCAAATTGGTACGAAAATCATCATTTTATCCGGCAAATATAAGAAACATCCTGGAGTAGGACGATATAACCACCGATAATTGAAAAAATATAAAGCAAGCTACCTGTAATTTCAAAAATTAATGTTTTTTTAACTTAGTAAAGACTATATCTGATGATCTGAACTATTGAACCAGTCATGATAAACATAAAACTTCCAGAGAAACCAAAACGATATGATTACCATGGGCGACAAACCGTTGCATGACGGGTGAGCTCCTGCCGCCTCCCAATGAATCGTTCCATCTCCTCCGTCACACCAATAGTTGATGATATCTGATACAATTCTAGTAGTATGTGTTTTCGGCGATCAAACATATAATAATAAAGATCGGGTTTATCTTTTTTTATAAACATATGGCGTATAAAAACTTTTTGTATTATCTTTATGTAAACAATTTTAAAACTACCATAAGTTGCTAAAAGAGCGTGCATTTTGGAAACATATTTATGATCTTTCTCTCGCGTAAATGTCTAAGAAATTAAAATAAAGGACAATATTGTCAATACATTAATTTTTCAGTGGATTGATAAAAAGTTGCTGTGGAAAAATCAGGTCCCGTTATATAAACATGATCAACTCTTTAAATAACTAAGGGCAATGCTTAATATCTAAACATGATCAATTCTTTAAATAACTAAGGACAATGTTCAATAAAATATACGTATTTATTTTATTTTATTACTTTTTAATGTTTGTATTATTTTATTAATTAAAAAAATAAATATTATAATTTTATTAAAAAGTTTTATATGAGTCAATTTAAGGTAATGATTTTTTTTAAAATTAATACGATAAAGATAACCAATAACATAATAAAGATCATGATAATCATATAATCGTTTCTTATAAAATTTCAATAAGTTTGTTTCGTTATCGCGTAATTCGGAATCGGCTTATATAACAACCACTTTATGGAGATCTTCCCCTGTTTACGTATCAATCGAGTGGACTGACACTAATCCCTTCCCCCTTCTACCCTTTTGTCTAGAACCTTCTCTCTCGCATCGCAGCTATGGCATCTCCATCTCAGGCTAGTCTCCTTCTTCAGAAACAGCTCAAAGGTCTTACTTTTTCAGTTCTAAGTTTTCCGTTTGATATGATATGATTGATTGTTTTAATTACTTAGATTACATATTATTGATTGTTTGAATTATTTGATGATGATCCGTATTTTGTTTTTTTACAGATCTCTGTAAAAACCCTATTGACGGATTCTGGGCCGGTCTTGTTGACGAAAGCAATATTTTCGAATGGAGCGTCACGATTATTGGGCCGCCTGGTACATTATAGTGAGTTTCTGTATCTCTGCTTTGTCATTAGATATTAGAAGATCGTTTTTTTTTTGTTTTCGAGTGTTAATTGTAACCTTAATTCTGCAAAATTAATGTTGTTATGCTTCTCAGTAATTCGTGGTCAAATTTTTGTACTCGATTATTAGTTGTTTTATGTTGCCAGTTGGAAATTTTTCATATTATCGTTTGTTATTGATGAAACTCTGGAGGTTTTAGGGTTTAAGATGTTATATGATAATCATATAGTTGTGTATAAGGCTTACAAGTTAATATGTTATGTTACAATTTATTTATTTCTCAAATTCTGATTTGTGGATGTGTTTTGTAGTGCGGAGGGTTTCTTCAATGCTATAATGACATTTCCACAAAATTATCCAAATAGCCCTCCAACAGTGAGATTTACCTCCGAGTTTTGGCATCCCAATGGTTAGTATTAATTGTTCTCTTTTGCTTTGTTTATTTCACCCGAAACCTTATTTCTTACAAGAAAGATCTGTTTGGTTTTGTCCAGTTTACTCGGATGGCAAAAGTCTGTATATCAATCCTTCATCCCCCTGGAGACGATCCTCATGGCTATGAGCTTGCAAGTGAGCGCTGGACACCAGTCCATACGGTATGTAATTGATTATTTTGAAAAATGCATAATAAACTTTACTTATTTTTAGCATACCAAATCCAAAATGTAATATTTTTCAGGTGGAGAGCATAGTTTTAAGCATTATATCAATGCTTTCTAGCCCCAATGATGAATCTCCTGCAAATGTGGAGGCTGCGGTAACACCCACATTTTTTTTTTGAATGTTCCCTTTGCCTTTCATTGTCTAGAAGTGTCGTTTATTTATTTTTTTATTTTTTTAAATCAAAATAAAATAGTCCTTCAATAAAATGAACTTCTGCAACATTTGAGTAAGTTCATAGATTTATGCTTTGTTTGGCCATTGATATGTTATTGCAGAAAGAATGGAGAGAACAAAGGGACGAGTTCAGGAAGAAGGTGGGTCGATGTGTAAGGAAATCACAAGAACTTTTGTAAAAAATCGCATGCATTTTAAGAAACCAGTTGCTAGTTACTAGTTTTGCTAGAATCACCATTCTATATTTTTTTTGTTTTGTATTCCGATCCTTTTTGTTCTTAGTTTGCTTGACACATTTTGTTTATATGAATGGTAAGTTATTCCAATAGGAAATTTCAGATGGTTTTGATCTTAGCATAAAATCTGATTGAGAGTTTTGGTCATATGGGGATTGTGCTTGGACTCCATGGTCGAGCTTTAACTCAAAAACCATATATAAAGTCGAAGTACTTTACTTATGATGCCTTTGTAGGTCTTAAAGAGGTTAATCCTGTTTAAGAGAATTACTAATCTAGCCATTTTTTCTAATTACCTATCTAAAAATAGCAAAAAAAAAAAAAAAAAAAAAATTTAGCTAAAAATAGCCCCTAAAAGAGTAGATGGCAAACGTTGACTACAGTAAACGGGGTGAAGTCTCGGTTTTAGAGCAATGAGCTACTGTTTCCCGGTCCGTCTACTCTTTCGAGACCCATTGGGTCATACTATATAATGTATTGATTTTCAGATTAGGTAATTTTTACTACTTTTTCATTGGTTTTTCTACTGTTTTCTTCCAATGGAGCACTCGAAGAACAACGAAGTACATCTATTTTTTATCGAAATTTTACCGTATTCTTGATTAGGAGTAGTTTTTGTACCTAGGGGTAACTTAAAAAAAAAAAAAAAGAAGAAAAAAAAATAGTAAAACCATAGGCTTCATAAGAAACCTACGGTGTACAAGTCCACAATGCACAGTTTGTACAGTGTGGACTTGTACATTGTAGGTTTCGTATGAAGTCTGCCGTTTTTATTTTATTTTTTTCGTTTTTTTTAAATGGATGTAATCTGTATAAAATTGTATATATGTTATGATTCCTTGATTTTTTTTCGAAAAACAAAAAAAAAATTACCGAAACCGTAGACTTTTTACCGAAACCGTAAACTATGGTTTGGGAAACCGTAGTTCGTCAAGAAAAAACCGTAGGTTATAAAATAACCTACGGTTTTAGATTTTCAAAATGAAAAAAAAATTATAGTTAACAGAAACAGTAGACCATTTGGCGAAACAGTTGCCACTCTAATTACCTACGGTTTTGTGGGTTATTTTTGGACAATTGCTAATTTTTGTATAGGTAATTAGATAAAATGGCTAGATTAGTAATTCTCTCCTTTATTTATGTGCTAAATGTTTAATAATTGACGTGCCATTATGTATAAACTGAAAAATAAGACATAATAAAATAATTTCAAAATCAAATTCTACGACAGTTTATTACAAAATTATTATAATCTATTTTAGAAGTTACATCAAACATTAAATTGCAATAAGAGCATCCACATTAAATTATAACTTCCACATTCACCGCTCATAACCCTCCACATTCACCGCTCATAAGCATGAACCATTTTATTATGGATACAACTCTACAAATAAGGAAGTGTCATTTGATTCTAAAGTTACAAACAAAAAATTGGTAAACATTTCATTACAAACTCAGTTAAAACCGATTATTATATTTTTTAGCATGACACCCTTGCAAATTAACCATATGTATAAGTTTTGTGTCCTTTCAAAACCAAAAGGTGAGTTTTATTCTTTGTTGTGAGAGTCTTTTTACAAAGACGATTTGTTTTTTCAATACATGAAGCCGATACAAATTGTTATCGGTTGCATAGTCAATGAATGAACACTGATTTTAACAAGACAACCCTACTCTTCCAGGTATAGGTAAGTTTAAGAACTTTTTTCTTTTCTTGTGAAGTACCTTATGAAAAATAACTAACCACCAAAATTGCTTCCTCCACGGTTTAATGTATGCCTAAAATTTCTTAGCAAAAATTTGAGTTTGCGACATTGTTTTATAAAAAATTTAACGAAATCAAATTCATTCAAATCAAGGTTCTTTTGAAAGCTAACACATATATCTAGATTTTCTAAGTTGTGAGTTTTAACAGATACAAAAACATGTTGGCGCGAAAACAAGGTCTAAAAAAAGATGATTCCTTTTTTAAACAAGTAAGCAACATTGTCTTAGAAAAAAAATCATATAATCAAACTCATACATTATTGGAATGAAAATATTCAAACTTCTATAGAAATCTAAAATAATGTTCTACAACTTTTATGTTTTAAGTTTTTGAAAATTAAGAATTAGTGGAGGTCGAAATTAGGTTCTAACAGAATGCATAATAGATTATGAAAAATACAACTATCATGTGTTAGAAAATTCATATAAAATTCAGAGATTATCGAAATTAACCGATTCAATCTTTTGTAGCAACCTAATGTATTGTTCTATAACTTACATTTTTAAGTTTTCCACAATCCAAAACCACTAGGGATCGAAATTTGGTTCTAATCAGTAAAAAACTATTTTAAAATGGAGCATATATAAACGCAAAAAAAATAAATAAAGCCTGTTGTTAAAATCGAACAGAAATAAATCAAAAATTGCCTTTTCCTCTTTTGTTAAACTCGAGAGATCACACCAAGGAAAAAAATGTGTTCATTTCATAAAAAATAATCTATTTTAATATTGTTGGTAAATATGTTACGGTAATATATAGAAACAAACAAGAAATTGTGTATTTAATATGATTTTGAAAACTGAAAACTAATCACAGTAAAATAGTAAAACCGACAAAATTAATTTAGTCATTAACCACAAAACAAATACACCGTATCAATTAGGCTAAAGGGTATAATGAATTTTTGCTTATAAAAAAATGTCAAATAGGCATCACGTAAGCTTTTACTATTTTTGTGGCAATTTGTCTATGAGTGAGATGTGGTATGTTTTTGTCTACCAACATTTTAAAAAAAATAAAAATAAAAAAACAGCATTTACTATTAATATTAGTTAAAATAACATAATTTCTAGATCAATGTTCCAAATTTTGGCTTCTATACTAGAGAATGATAGAAAAGTTAAAATGTGTTCATAAAACTTAAGTTTTCATTAAATATTTAAGATTAAATCACTAAATGTTGATATTATTTTTTTAAAAAACCTTTATCTAAAACTATTTTTTTGTTATGATTTAATGTTATTATTTGGAATTTAAAAAAGAAAACCTCAATAACTAGAAAATGGTAACAGGTGATAAATAAAAAAGAAATCTAATTGCTTTAAAATCTATAGAAAGAAGTAGGAAAAAAGGAAAACACCACTAAAATCTAAATAATTCAACAAGTAGGAAATGAGAAAGATAACGGTAAAAGTTCGCTGCTGAAATCTGTCACCGGTAATAATTGTCATTATGGATTGGTGTTTATCATTGGTAAAAGCTGCCATCTAAGCTTGACGGTGAACCCTTGCTACGACACCGTTAAGCCTTATTTGCACCTTTTAAGTGTGTATTTAATATGGTTTTAGAAATTGAAAATCTAATAATTTTGAAGTTTATCCAATTAACTCATTTTAACGAGTAATATTTTATTCATCTCAAGTCTATTTTGGACGTACCATACATCAAAACGAAATATCACAAAGAAAAATACAAATATATAACCATCTATTTACTTTAATAAAGTTTAGGATTCAAATTTTGTATTAGAAAAGCTCATTTATTGAACGGTGTCGTGCCGGCACCAGACTCCACATAAGCTGATAGTGACATTTTTTGTCATTTTTAAAAATGGTTAGGGTGTGGTATTTGTTTTACCACCGGCAAAAGAAAAGAGAGACGAGAGTGAATTTGATTTTTGCCATCGGTGAACATATGCCGCTAGTGTATTACCGTCGGTAAAAAAACCATCGCGGGACGGTGTTCACCGCCAGTAAAAACTGTCAACTCAATTTGCCGATGATAAAAACACTAGCACACCCCAAAGCCTAAAAATTAGCTAAAAACAATTTTTGAACAAGTGAACTCCCGCTCAAAGTTTTGGATGTCAAAGAGTGTATTTATTATGTTAGCCCATGTATTAACTTTGTATAGTCATCGGCCCATCTATGTTGTAGGGCTATTCTCCTTTTGTGTATATTGTTTTCACATACCGACATTCGAAATCACTAAGAAATAAGAATATTATATTATTCGATAATAATTTCATAGCATTCTTAGTTATCTTGCCCGACTAGTCTTTAAATCAAATGTGCTGATTTTGACAAATCTCGTATCTTGCATTTGTTCGTAGATGTGTTGCTTTTGTCTCGTGTTTTGCATTTCTTCATAGTTGTGTTGCTTGCAGGCCGGTCCAAACACATATTGGGCCCGGGACGAGGAAGAAAAAGGGCCCCAACTGTCAAATATGTCAATGCCAAATATAATAAAAAAAAATTAAAAAAATATCATTTATAATAATAATCAATAATATCATCCAAACCGAAAATATGATCATAATATTTACAAAAAAACACCACCAATATTTACAAAAGACAATCAATTTCTTGCTTTATTTGATATGAAACTAACATGATCAATTTAATGTAACATTTCTTTCTCTATACATAATATTGCCCATATATTTATCTATACATCTATACATTACATTCACCTTAAGTAATTCTTCAACAACTTTAGCTAGCATTGAACAACTTCAAAGTAAACTTCTCTCTATAGATGCTTATTCACATTAGGTAATATTTAGTTTTTGAAAACTTCTAACTTCTATAAACTTCTCTCTACATTTGTAGAGCATCTACAAATGCAAGCTGTAAAACAAAACCACTAGGTAACAAAAGTCATAAAATGATAACTAAAATAAAATCAAAAATCTGATAAACAACAAATCAAATTACACTATTAGCTTGTTAAGTGAGATATATGATGTTATAAAGTGGAACTCTGAAAGAATAAAGTCAAGAGAAAAATAGTAGAAAAATTAGAACAAAAAACTTCTCATTATATAATTATATACAAATATCTAGAAACATAATACCTAATTGAGTGAAAATTCTTTAACCTAGAACATTGATTATCAATTTTTTCTAAATAAATTGGCTTCAGAAATCTGAGAAACAAAAATCTAATATAACATAGAATGAGAAGAAAAAACCAGAAAAAAAAAAACTGATACACAAACCTATAAGCTTTCAGAAACGAAAAAACTAAAAGAAAAATCATACGTTCTTACGTTCTTATCTGATATCACGCAAGTCACAAGGATTCAAAATCAGCATAGAG